GTGTTATGTTTTGTTTTGTTTTGTTGGTTTAAATAATAATTAAAAAAAAGAAAAAGAAAATAGCAATATTACAACTATAGATTCTCTTCAATAGTAACAATACTGCTTCCTAATAATTTACTAAAGTATTATTTAATGAAATGTTCAGTCTCTGATAGAGCGCAAGAGTATTACTATGGTAACTCCCAAATTATGGATTATTGTGTATGGTGGAAAAGTTAGCTAACTACATTCCACTGCCATTTGATGTGGATCTACTCAGAACTCCATCATAGCTAGTAACTTACATACAAGGCCTACTAATTCCATTTTTTTCTCCACAAATGGAGAAAATAATAAAATTAGTTATTTTATTATCATTATTTTTATTATTGTTTATTTTATAATTAATTAATAAAACTTCAAAACTTACATTCAGGAAGTGAAGATATAAATTCAACATGTTTATTTAGCACATGGCATATCATACATACATGGACTAGCTCTCTCGCTCTCTCTCTCTCTCATCTATCTATCTATCTATCTATCTATCTATCTATCTATCTATCTATCTATCTATCTATCTATTAACAAAAATGTTAAAATGTCAAAAAAAATATAAATGTTAAAAAGTTCTGTGTTCAAATACTAATGTCTAGGCCGTCTAATCTTTGAAGTGCAGATGCTTTATATGGAAAAAAGTCAGATACTGGGCCTGTATGTGCCCTCAGCTTACAGCTGGTCACGATAACAACAACAATAATAAAGTTGGAAGGGACCTTGTAGGTCTAGTCCAACCCCCTGCTCAGGCAGGAAACCCTACACCATTTCAGACAAATGGTTGTCCAGTCTCTTCTTAAAAACTTCCAGTGTTGGAGCATTCACAGCTTCTGGAGGCAGGTTGTTCCACTGATTAATTGTTCTGTCAGGAAGTTTCTCCTTAGTTCTAGGTTGCTTCTCTCTTTGGTTAGTTTCTATCCGTTGCTGCTTGTCCTGCCTTCAGGTACTTTGGAGAATAGCTTGACTTGCTCTTCTTTGTGGCAGCCCCGGAGATATTGGAACACTGCTATCATGTCACCCCTCTTCCTCCTCTTCATTAGACTAGACCAACCCAATTCCAGCAACCGTTCCTTATATGTTTTAGCCTCCGTCCCCTAATCATCTTTGTTGTTCTTCTCTGCATTTTTTTCTAGAGTCTCAACATCTTTTTTACATTGTGGTGACCAAAACTGGATGCAGTATTCCAAGTGTGGCCTTACTAAGCTGTTATAAAGTGATTTCAGTTTTGGAGACAAAGGTCAGCGTGCACCTGTAGGAGTTGTTCATATTTTTTCTGAATTCTTTCACTAGTACATCTTACCTTCGTAAAGCTAGCAATGCTTTATGGCTGAGAACAGGAATCCCAGCAAGTTGGGAGTGGTTTTGATACATCTGCATGTAATCTTCATAGTATTGTTGAGTCTGGTATCTCACGGCTATTAAGCCATACAGGGGCACAGTATTCTACTGCAGAGTAGACCAGACCTAGTGCTGATAATTTGACAGAGGCAGGTGAAGCTCCCCATTTAGTTTTGCATCATTTCTGGAGTATGTTGTTCCTAGTATTGATTTTTGCCACTGTATCTTATAGGAAAAGATCTGGTCCAATGTTATTTCAAGATACTTTGGAAGGTGGTTATAGGGGAATAAGTTGTTTTTAAGCAGACCTTCAAACCTTCATATGCTAGTTTGTTATTAAGGTGGAAGCACGTGGTTACTATTTTGCTGGTGCTAGGAGTATGCACAAGTAAGACATTTACTCTAAAATAAAAAGTACATGTTTCTTAAGATATGCAAATTAATTCGGATTGCAGAGAGAACAGAGTCATTCTTATATCATCTGGTCGATAAAGCGATCTTGTTCATATCAGCAACATAATAAACATGTTTTTAAATCCAGTTTATACAGTACTGTTTTGGTAAGTCATGGCTTTCTCAAATGAATCTTGGGAACAGAAATACTATTATTAATCCCCCACTCTTTTATACAAAGAAGTAAGACACTTGAAGTTTAACATAAATCTGTGTTCGGTTTCTATCAGACAAATGTGAGCTTATGAAGGTCTAATTATCAATTATACTTTTATCAAAAATGTAATGATTAATGAGTAATTTCAGAGTGCTCTTGATGGCTGCACTCTCAGCAGCTCCAATGAATGTTGAGACACTCCTTCCAACTATTTCTAAAAACAACTCCTTCATGGAGGAGGCAGACATGTAACTATCTTATCATGCCTCCACTTTTAAAATTTGCAAGGCAGCAGATTCTTAACTATTCAACTGAGAATTTGGTGACATTGGATCCAGGCACAAATGCTACAGTAGAATAGGACAGAACAGAACAGAATAGAATAGAAGCTAAATTGGAGAAAATGGCTAAAATTAATGTAAATTTAAAATAGATATTTGTTAAAATCTGTGCCAGTACCTATCATCCTTGAATATCTAGAATGCCAGAAAATAAATAGGCCAACTACAAAGGATTAACTAAAGATTATTTTGAAGGGTGGAAGCAAGCAATTCCACCTAGTAATAAGAAGGTAAGAAAGCCAAATCTTTTAAATATCCTGGGTTCTATAATAACCATTGCCCCCGATTCTCCAGATACTGACAAGTAGGTTATTGTAACTAATATTAACAATTATCTACTAGAAGAAAGATTTATTATGCTACCTTTGTGCTCAGTGGCGCCAGAGTTATGTTCTAAAACTGGAAAAAAAGATAAATTTTCTCCTAAAGAAAAAGGTGGAATCAGTGACTCATGCTAGAATCAGCTTATAGTGTTACTGCCAGGTAACTGCATATTCACTAGAAAAACATGTCCTTTGATAGTTGAGGGAACATGCTTTGGAATACCTGGAGGATAAAAGAGATATCCACCTCTATTTTGCAAAAGAATTATTTTTAATCTTATTTTTATATTTAGAAAAGAAAAAGAATCAAAGGCATCAAGGTAAGATGCATTGTATATTTTGGGTTATCTAAGTACAGCCAGCACCCGTTATCTTTTGTAATGTTCAGGCGACAGGAATGAAATCACAGATTTTTCCAGCTGCCTGTTTTAAACTTTTTAGGTCACTTAAGAGTTAGGGTGGTATTATATTTAGAGCAGACCTATTAAACTAATATACCTCATTTAGCAAATTTCAGTAGATGTATTCTAAGAATCAGGGCTTTTTTTGTCATAGAATGCCCAGAACTGAGTTCCGGCACCTTTTTTGAATGGAACCTTGTAGGATAGGCAAGGCGGGTTGTATAATGTGTGTGAGTTCCGGCACTTTTTTTTTTTTTTTTTTTAACAAAAAAAGCACTGCTAAGAATGATAACATTTGATTCCTGCTTTATGTTTTTCTCCCCAGATCTCTTTGGAGATGAAATAGCATTTATACTTGCTTAGGCCTTAGAAGACGCCTAAGCAGTAAGTCAACTGTCAACAGCAGGCAGTAGTAAAACATGCTGAAACTTTCCCCAAATAGCTTTGCATTTTCTAAGCATGTTCCTAAACCATTCCAAAGCTTTTTTAAAAAATGAACTATTGAATGGGTATGAAATAGTTTTTCTTTGTCTTCATCCCATCCACTGGGATGGGATGTTGGTTGATGAAGGGACTGGGCGAATGAAATCTGGATAATTTTCTCCTTTTTTCATACATAACTGACATAATGAAACATTCTGAAGTTCCTTGTAAAGCTTGTTTACTATTTAATTTTTATGAACCAGGCTTGAGGTTAAAAAAAAGTCAAGATGGCAGTTGAGGCAGTTTTATTTATTCATTTGTATGTCACCATTATACTGACAAATAACTCAAGATAGTGAATATATCTAACACATTTTCCCCCATTTTCCAGAAAACAACCCTGTGAGGTAGATTGAATTGACAGAGAGTGACTGGCCCAAAATCTTTCATGGATAAAGCAGGACTTGAACTCATGGTCTCCCTCTTTCTAGACTTGTGTCCTTTAAATTAAACTGGCTCAAACCCCCAACACTCTGGAAGTGGAGACATCTGAGTCAAATGTATTTATGATGCAATAAGACAATTCATTACGTACGTGTCTTTTATATCAGGGGTCCCCAATTCCTGGGCTGTGGCCTGTTTGGAACTGGGCTGCACAAGTGGTGGGTACTTGTGCATGAAGATCCACTTATGTGACCAGAGAGCACTTGCGATTGTGTGCAGAGCTCCATTTGCGCTGGTGAAGGGTGCACACGCCTGCCACTCACACAGAACCATATATATAATGTCTTCATTTCAAAATGTAGATTCAGAGCATGTTAATGCTGTGTGCAAAGTTAAAGAATGGATGATCTGAAAACTTCCACCATTCAACTTTTTTTTCTGAAAGAGAATATTGATTATCAAAGTTTCTATGAAATAAAGTAAAATCAGACTCAATTTAGGGTAAATATTTGCCATTTTATTTTAAACTTATTTTTTGATGAAGTATTTAAACATAAATAATTTGTGCATGGGAAATAATGTTCACCATATCCAATGGTACTCTTACATAAGTGTCCCAAATTAATAAAATGAAAAATTACACGTGAAAAAAAACACCTAATGACCCTGTGGGAGAAATGACCTTGCATGAACTCTATTTTTTACACTGCCATTTAGATTTTTCAAATTATACATTGTTCTGGATTGTAAAAGCATTCCAGTCTCTTGGTGAGAAAATTATCCGGTCAATTTCAATTTTTTGCACCGATGAGGATTCAGGGAACACACACACAGAAACACAGTTCTTAATTAGCAAAGCTAATATTTACAGAAACAATATTTCAAATGTAAAAGTTTATTCTTTTACAAATAATTTTCAAAGCAGAATATATTTAAATTTAACAGACAATTAAGGCTATTTCATGACAACTGCTGCACTATCACAGCTGTAACAAATAAGCGAGTGAAAAATGTTTGGACATATTTCTATAAAAACATTCTGTAAAAGATTTAACAAGCAGGTTATAAAAGCAATTTCTAGTTTTTTTCCCTTACTTGATTTTAAATATTCCATGGTCCTGATAAACTATTAAGTCAAACAAATTAATTCTTGAACTGAAATAATTATATCTTAAATGTATCAGTCACTCAAATGATATTCATTCATGTAATTTCAAACTCATAATTTCAGTTAATAAGTGCAGATTTTATATATATACAATTGCTATTTTTTCTCTCTTGCTGGATGGACAAAACTCAAATAATTGAAGATTTCTTAGAATTACATCATTTTAATGTTTTATAGCAGGAGTGTCAAACTGGCGGCCCGCGGGCCAGAGGCATCACACACAGGCCACGCCCATCCCGCTCCGCAAAGGCAAAAAACATCACGATACATCACGTGACGTGATCGAGTTTGAGACTCGTGCTTTATAGCTTCTTCCAGCTAAGTTCTGTAAAAAATGTTAAATTAAAAAAACCCCACTCAACTGAAAAACCACTGTAAACAGACACAATATTTGGGGCATGAGCAGAATTAAAATGTTGTACTCTTAAGAGTTTTTTTTCCCCATAGAGCTGGGAGACACTTGAAGCTTTCTGATCATATTTGTGGAGAAGGAACTGTTAGAAGACCTGTTGGCTTGATTTTGTTTATACCACCATCCAAAATGCAAATTCTTGGATATTTTATTTTCACCAGATGAGCTGCGAACTGAAGTAGAAATATTTTACATTAGAATGATGTATATATATTGCTTCAATACAGGCTGTCCTTGACTTACGACAATTGAGCCCAACATTTTTGTTGTTAAGTGAAACAGTTAAGTGAATTTTGCCCCATTTTATAACCTTTTTTTTGCCATAGCTGTTAAGTGAATCACTGCAGTTATGAAGTTAGTAACACAGTTGTTAAGTGAATCTGGATTCCCCATTGGCTTTGCTTGTTAGAGAAGATTGCAAAAGGTGATCACATGACCCCAGGACACTGCAACCATCATAAATACAAGTCAGTTGCCAAGTGTCTGAATTTTGATCATGTGACCGTGTGGATTCTGCAATGGTCATAAGTAAGAAAAATGGTCATACGTCACTTTTTTCAGTGCTGTTGTAACTTCAAACAGTCATTAAATGTATGATTGTAAGTTGAGGACTACTTATGTGTAGCTATGTAAGAAAGACTAGAGAGAAGGCTTACTAAAGCTTCTGCATTCTCCTATTATCAAAGAGAAATCTTTACTTACTATATCATTTTCAAGTAATTTTTATGTTTGTGTTTTACAGGAAGTACTACAGAAGCTTTACATACTTTTTCCAAGCTGAAGTGGTTCAGTTTTACTGGTAATCCTCCTCCACCATCCTACTATTGCCCCCTTTATCCATACATAGCACTTGTAGAGCAACAGTGTGTTGACTCACTTCTCACTTGAAAATTATCCTGAATGTTTAACGTTTGCATGCTTAGGTCTGGAGAACTGAATTTGAAGATCCATATTCATTTCTTTATTTGTCTGATTTCTATTTATTCTATTAGAATATACTAATGCTTTAGTATATTTATTTTAATATTTATGTATGGATTTCATTTATTTATATCCCACCTTTATTTTTTTAAATAACTCAAGACAGTGAACATACTGTACCAGTGAACATACTGTACTGTACATTCCTCCTCCTATTTTCCTCACAACAGTTCTGTGAGGTGTTGTACTGAAAGAGATTGATTGATCCAAAGTCATCCAGCTGCTTTCATGTCTAAGGTGGGACCTCTACACTCAGTTAAAAGCAGACCAACATATTTGTCTTCAGTGATGAATGTGTAAATGGAGAAACAACACAAATGTTTTCCAGAGCAATGGGAACTGTTGCTGACTTTAAGATTTCACTATGGGTCTTATAATTGCATTAAATATATGCCCACTTGGTAGACGTATGTTATAGCTATTATGGTTTTTTTAATATAATTTTCATTAAGTATGTTTAGAAAGTTAAAAGATAAATACCAAGCAGTACAAAAAGAAAGAAATTTTAAAAAAAGTATTGAAATCAATAGAAAGAAAAACAAGACAAAACAAAAATACTTAAGAGACTTCCAATATTCTTTAAAGCAGTTATAGACATACTTCCCTTTTCTAAATTACATAACATAGTTCTTTTTTTGCCATATTAACCCCTTACCTATTATAGTTTTCAAAAAAATAGTCTTAATTTTTGCCTGAAAATAGTAATTAGGAAAATTCTTCATTTGCTTAATAAATGGATGCCACAGAATGTTACCCAAATTCATTATAATGCTATAATAGGCTCGTGCAGGAATAGGTATCCTTTACATATCTATTTAATTAAAACATTACACAATAAATGCTTTATACTTCCTCTGTAATTCAACTATATGAACAATCTTTAGAATTTGGTCACATAATTCAGCTATGATGTCAGTTCATGTTAATTCATGTTCTATAATATTTGTAATGCATATAATAAACCAAATCCCTATGCGGAGCAGACAAAAGTAATACATGCCTATTTAAACTAACAACAAAAATATTTTGATCTCAACAAAACTAACAAAAATATTTTGATAATTAAAGAGGAAAAACAGTACAAAACCTACTGCAAATCGACGGTTTCTTGATTTGAAAACTAGGGATTAGTTTGCTTTAAACAATAAATGGATAATTTCGTTATGTTTCATAACAAATATTTTTGTGTTGAACAGATACAAGATAATATCTATTGGTACGTGATGAAAGCTAAAAGAAACATCCTTTCAAAGGTTTTCATGTAGGTCTTTGGAGACTGGAGATAGAATACACGATCTATATCTAGCTGTTACTTGTATAGGCAAGTAATATAGCTGATAACAGTCAGAGTTAATTGTTCTTAAAAGCTTTAGTGAAGAAAAAAGCCAAGGAATCTTGGCGTCCCTCTTCCTATTCAAGTGGGGCCAAATCAGTACAGGATAAACATAGCAGGACTTTGTGGCCAATAGCAAGGACAGCTTCAGAAGTTCACATTTATAGAGTAGGGGTACAATACTGACAGGACAAACTTAGAGCTCTTTTTTCTTGTTTATTTGGTGAGAAGGTCATTCCTGACGCCAAAACTATCAACGAAAGGTCTATTTGTGTACATTGGACATCAATACTACAGGTCTATTTCATAGAAAATTAAAATAATGATATAGATGTTAAATTATGCAGTTTAGCAAGTCAGATTAAGCAATAATTTGGTTTTGCAGAGGTAAGCAAGAAAGGCACCCAGTCATAACAAGGAACGAGGGATAAATCACAGTACATATTTAACTCAATAAATTTATTATTGCTATAGGCAATTCTGTTTGTTAATGGCTGAACCATATTCTAACCCAGTGTTTCTCAACCTTGACAATTTTAAGGCATGTGGACTTCAACTCCCAGAATTCCACAGCCAGCAATGCTGGCTGTGGAATTCTGGGAGTTGAAGTCCACATGCCTTAAAATTGTCAAGGTTGAGAAACACTGTTCTAACCTTTTGCTCTTTTTGCAAGTCATTCAGAGTTAGAATTTAGCTACAATCCCTTGTTTTGCATGTGTAATGCTGAAGTGAAACTGAATTTGGGACTGTTTTTCTTTCTCTTGGATGCTCATGAAAAAAAAGGAAAGGGAAGGCGCTTAGATCGACATTTCCCTGATTTTTCATATACCTCATGGTTTAGCACAGCATGACCAATCCAAGATCTATAGGCTCCATGAGGCCCTGAACAGCTAGTAAGCTGTCAAAAAATTGTCATTTTTTACTGGTACACTGGTACACATTAAAAATGAGGTTCTGTTGCCTGTTCTCAAAAGTGTACACATACATAACACACATATAAACATGCTGTATACATACATATGTATATACCTACACCCTAACATATAAATACATATAAATATTAATCACTGTCCATCCTGAATACATAGCAGAAAGAGGAAGCTTGAGAGTTCACAAGGTTAAACTTTTAACATAATGTCATTTTTAGTGATAGTTATTTTTATATATGTTATATGCAGCCCAAGACAATTCCTCTTCACTCAGTGAGGCCCAGGCAAGCCAAAAGGTTTGGTATGCTTGGTTTAGCATATCCCACATATCCCCTAAGTTCTATTTATCCAAAAGGCAACAGCAATTGCTGAGGTCTCATAAAAGCTAATGAATCTTGTGCTGTGTTGTTGTTCTTTTGCAATGCCTAGGTAATTGACAGAGCTTTGACAAATGACTTCTTTAGAACTCCTGAAGAGATGATGAGCTATGACTGCCATCATGCTGGGAGACATAGCAATGAAACTGATGAGAATCTGTGACAACTGGTCAAATACGGTATTTGCTAGCTGGGTGGTCTGGGGCAGGGAGAAGAAATACTTAAAGGGTTGATTTTAAAAAAGGCACATAACTGAACATTTTGACAAAAGAGGACAGATCTTACAAATACAAATATGAACTTGGATGAATGCACATGAAAGAAACAGTTGGTATGCATGCAGCTTTTCATATTTTCATATATAACTAGGCATGGGTAAAAAGTAGCACTAGTATATATTAACAGAAATACTATTCCATAAAGTAGTAGACTTAATAAATCAGATCTATGCTTGATCTAAAATACTACCCAAAAAAGGAAAAAGAGAGGAATTGAAATTTTTGTGCATATACAATGTTCCCTATTCCGATTTTGAGGGTTGGTTGTTGGGTAGGAAATCACTTGCATTTTTATGTCATCTAGTTTGCACATGGATGAAGGAATATATACTTGAACATGTAAAACTGTCATCAAAGGATACATTTTTCACATTAGGGTATTTTTGAATTGATATTTGCTATTATTGCTAATTTACAGTATTTTAATAGTCTTCATTCCGATGTATAATGATTTATAGAATACTGAGTTAAACAATTTAGAACCTAAAATCTGACATAAGGAAAACAGCAGCAGTAAACAGAGTAAATATGTCTTTATTTCAATTCTATATTGAAAGATAAATTAAAAAACCCAAAAGTTAAACGAAAACTAGGGCCAAAGGTGAATGTTCTCTAATTATTGTTGCTAAAATAGTCTGTGTATCTGACTGGCAGCCAAATTTTTGACAATTAAAGATCAACAGAACATGTGAATAATCAAAGAGACTAAAATCAGAATAGTGATAGGTCATTTTCCAGTACTGTTTGATTTCTTACATCCAAAGTCAGAACAAAATCCTTACAGTGATTCTTTAACAAAACAAAAAGTTAAAGGGTTATTTTTGGCACGTATTACCTCTGGCTGAAGGGGAAGAGAGAGAGAGAATCATTCCAAATATTTACATGGATTTCACTTTAAGATTCATATATATCTCCTTTAGAGGGGAGGACCTTAGTTTTCCATTGCAAAATTATAGTAATAAAATAGGAGAACTTTCCATTATAGGTGTGTTTCAGAGCAGAGGAATTTGAGTTTTGCATAAATAATAAGATTTCCTTGAACCCGTATTTAAATCATACCATCTTTGTAGACACCAAAAGATATAAAAATTATATATTTCTCTTCAAACCCTCCAGATAAGCTAAATTACAGGTAGAGAAGGGAGGGAGAATTTTACCACCAAGTGTTCTAACTTCTTCTTACAGTTAATTTTTTTAATGAGCCCCTCTAATCATGTAGCTTTGGGGAAGAAATGTTGAAATAATATATTGCTTGCTAGGTTTTTTTTTCTTGAG